CGGAAGTGAGCTTGATGTTGCGAATACCAGCAGACAGCTTCATGGCAATATCTGAGTTCTCGCTGTCGTCCAGAGGGGTGAACTTGTTCTGAGCGTAGATCTCACCCAGGTAAGCAGTGATAACGTCCCTCTCAGTCTGCCCTGGCTGTTGCACTCGAGGGAAGACCACAATTGGAGTGTTGACAACGACATCGAACTTGAAGCGACTGGGGCTCTGTTGTAATTGATTGGCCTGGTTCATAGCAGCTTGGCGCGCAGCGTTGTAAAGAGCCTGCATCTTGCCAAACTTGACCAAGAAGTCAATGATCTTGCGGAATGGCTCCTCCACAAAGTTCACCTTGACGGAACCAGCACGAAGGAAGACAGAACTGTCATATCCAGGATAAGCCTTAGGGTTTGAGGAATCGAAGGTTTCGTAGCGGAAGTCTGCCAAGTCATCTCCTTGAATGGTCACAAGCTTTCGTAGGTGTGAGTCCTCTGAGACGCCGAGATTAACGTCGTCAACGAGCGAGAGATCACCAAGCCGAGCCGAGATACGCATAGTCTTTCCTCGGAGGAAGATACCAGCATCGGCCTTATTGAAGGACAGCGTGGCAAGTCGAATGCCGTCATTGTTGAGGATCAGCCTGATACTCTTCAAGTCAACCTTGACTCGAATAGATCCTGTGTTGGAGTTTACTGAGGGCGCGTTGACGACCGCTACAGCAGTATCGACGCTCTCTGAATCGTCATCATCATCCAGTAGAGCCTTGTTGTTATTCGACTCGTTTTCGTTATTCGTAAAAGTGATGAGGATGAAATCCAATAGCGTAAGTAGTGTCTTTCGGGTAACGACCAAGTTGATTGTGGATATGACAGCGTTGATGTTGGTCTCTACACCTTCGTAAACAGGCATGAACTCGGGAGACAAGGGGTTGACCTTGACAAACTTGACGTGAACCAAGCTTCGGCCCTCTTTGAGATCCTCGCTGTCACCAGAGGAAATGATAGATTTGAACTCAGCGGAAGGGTTGTCAACAAAGTCATCAACAGTGACCGAGCCTAGTGAAACATCCGCGACCATATCGAATGGTCTGGTGTAGAATTCCAGGTCGAATCGCTCAGCAACCAACTCAACAAGCAAGGCATCAGGCTTCTGTCCATCAGGGTCACTTCGGTAAAGTGAACCCTTAAGGGTATCAACCTTGAACTTGAACTCGAAGATGCGTTGCTGGACTCGGAGCTGCTCTGCATCACCGCCATCTGGAGCATCCTCAAAGTCATCATCATCTTCATCCATATCATCAAGCACGACAGCGGTTTCCGATTGCATAAAAGGGAAAGGCGTGGACTGTCTTCGCTCACGCTGAGACTTTCTTCGTGATCGGTTGGACGAGTTGCTCTTGAGACGAGGCCGAGATGGCTCCTTGCGTTCCTCCAATCTTGGTGCAGGCCCGCCAAACTTGGGGATAGCTACATCGATGACCTTCATCAGATTCTTATACTTGGTGTCAGATACAGTGGCGTGAAGCATTGGCAGATGTCCCGAAACTTTGAACTTGGTCAAGTTGGGTGCCTTTGGCAGAATGGAGGTCTCGACAATGAAGTCGACATTGATTCGCTCAACAACATGAAGATGAGCTTCATCCGTTTTCTCAACCAACTGAGCTTTGGTGTCCTCAACTGAGGGTCCGATAAGGACTTGGGTTGACGTCAACTTGACAATAAACTTGTCGTACATGACAGACTCGAGTCGTTTGAGATCTTCATCGCTGTATGCCTGCTTTTGTTTCGATTGGATCTCCTTCATTGTGCTTTGGTCTACCAGTTCACTGTTGACATGGATATGACCCGCGTCTACAATCAAACAGGTAGAGTTCTCTGTGGTGATACTGACAGGCACGATGATCAGAGGTGCTTGGAGATCCAACTCAGCATTGATCGTCTTGTGCTCCTCCAAGGCGAACTCGAGACCCGCTCGAGTCTGTTCACGAATGCTCTCAACGGTCGCGCCGGCACTCTCCATGAGGGCGGTAATTGACTCCATGTGACGCTCAGGCGGTCTGAAGAAGTCGGCGATACCAACGACAAAGTTAGGGTTCCAGATGACCTCGAGAGGCTTCATCTTTCCGACAACAGCAATATCACCCTCACGCTCGATGGGGTTCTGCTCAAACTCAAACTGGAAGAAGGGGTCTTCCTCTGGCTGCTCAAGTTCGGCCAATGACAGTCGCTTACGCTGCTTTTCAGTGGGTGCATCCTTGACCCGGACAATCTCAGGGTAGACTGAGTCTGGTGTTGTGCCATCGTTGACACGCAGGCCGCCAAGGCTGACATTCGCAAGGACCGAATCTTTTCTTTGTAGCATCTTGGCTTTGAAGACATCAAAGTGAAGACTGAGGAGATCTGCTGCGTGATCGTGAGGGCTCTTCTTGAGTGTAAAGCTACCTGTGCTCAGAGATGTCTCGATGCACATCTTGATAGCCTCACGAGGAACATCGACTTCATCGGCAATGGCATTCTTCTCGTCCCAGTCGATGGCCTCGTAGAGCTCTTGTCGTTGCTCCTCAGTCATCTGTGTATTCTCTTCATTCTGTTCGATCTTTTCCTGGGGCTTGGAACCCCACACCCACGAGATCCAGCCCTGTTGTTGCTGTTGCTGCTGTTGCGGTTGGTTCTTGAGAGCTTCAGCGTTCTCTTTCTTAAGCTGGTTGCGAGCCAAGGATCGCCAGAATCGCAGATCCTCGTATGTGAGCTTCCATTCGAGAGCATTGATCTCATCAGTTTCCTCAGCAGACATCTGATGGCCTTGTTTTCTCTTCTTGAACAGCTCGATATATCGTTTTCGATCGTCTCGTCGCTCGCGGAAGTAGTCCCATGACCATTTACGGTTGCGTTCGTGAATCTTCGATAGCACAGCGTTACCCGCAAACTCGAGCCATGCACGTGGATCTTCTTTGGGTCGGACGCCCTTGGGTTGTAGGCGTTTGTATTCTTGGTGTCGAATGAAGTAATGGAACAAATCGACCATCATCAAAGCATCTCGGTATTGATCGTCATCGAGAACAAGACCAATCTCCTCGAAGAGTAAGTTGGCTTTGAACTTGGGTACCTTGATATCGCCCGACTTGTCGAGCTCGATCTTGGCTTGGCCATTGACGGGTCTGAGAATGAACTGATGGTTTGCATTCTCTTGCGCGTCTTTTCCAATCATTTCCCTAAACTTTGCTACCATTTCATCATGTGGCATTAATTCCTCAGACGATGTTGAAGCTTCTCTCCCAGTTCCGAGAAGAGTTGAATCGGTATTCCAGTACACAGCTAGAGCACCCAAGGTGGCCAGCTTGTGGGTGACTGTGTTAGAGTCTTGGATAAAAGTAGGCTTCCATTGGCCATCAGTACTGACGGCACTGAACTCCTCGAGAGTAACACCCAGGGCAAATGGGTGTCCTGGCGCTGAGATGGAGTCTTCATATCGAATGTGTATGTTCTTGACCGTGACTTGCAAGTTGTCGACGATCTTTGTGACCAGACTTTGTGTAAAGCTCTGGCTCTTCTTCTGCTCCTCCTGACTTAAACCTTCCTGGTTCCTCTCCTTGAGCAACTCAGCACTGTCAAGTTTCTCCATCTTGAGGCGCTGTTTCCTGCGATCTTCCTCGTCCTGATCATACTCAGCCTCTTCCTTCGGGCTGGCAAGAAGAAAGACATCCTGAATGAAGACCTTGACAGGTGCACCGCGCAGGTTGGACCAGGGAATGACGAGTGTAAGCTCGCCGAGATGACCCTCCATGACATTTATGGGAAGCTTGAGCTGGTCGAGTGCCTCGCGGCGTAGCTCGAGGTTGCGGAGCTTAACATCGCCGGACCAGATACCGACTTTCAACTGGGCTGGGTCGAAGTTCTTGACATACATGCCCAGGAAGCGGTTAAGCAGGCCAGCGACGAGACCTTCGAGCATTCTGGCGGTGTTGTGGCCGTAACCCGGGCCGGGGAAGGAAAGTTAGGGTTCGTTTTATTTGTTTTATCGAGGGCTCATCTGTCGGCGTGTGGTTGTTGACACGGGTGCCATGCGAGGCTCGATCGGTGAAGCGGTTGCTCTCCTCGGGCGTGAACGTGAGGTATAGGACTTTGTAGAGCGGGGTTACACTCGAGGCAGTATCGTAAGTATTCCCCTCAAGGATTTGGGTGAAATAGAGGGGAAAAGTGGGATTCGGTGGATGAGGGTATTATCGATTATGCCTCTCGAGTAACAAAAGATGGACGAAACTCGGTGATGGAGGAGATGTTGAAAAGGTGGGTTTCGTGTCGGGTTGTGAGTGAGTGAGTGACGCAGCTGGGCCCGGAGCAAAAGTGGGCAGCAGCGGTTTTGGGGAATGGTGTGGCGTGTATGACGATGCTGTTAAAGGTACTTGTTATTTGGAGGTGATTTGGTGGAGCAGCAAGTACCGAATTGGCTTTGAATTGATGGTAGCTTTATTTTTTACGTTCCAACGTGGTCGGGTACCTACCGTAGATTTTAGAAGCTGTTAACAGCTGGACCCAGCCCTGGAGCACATCAAAGCACAGGGCAGCTTTGGTGGGGCATCTTGGAAGATCTTCTAAACAATGACTTGGCAGAGTTGATCTGATCTAACTATCAGGACTATTTTATCGATATCAAAATATGATAGAAGGTTTAGCTATCTCTGCATTCCCCTCCTCTCATCATTACTGGTTTCGGTAGCTATTCTCTTATTCCAAGGTCCACTTCTGGTTGGTGTTTATATCAAAGGCTGCCCACCCGAAGTTTAGAGCTATTCCACCAAAATACAACTCTCATGACGTCACGGCATAGCTTCACATCCATCGCGATGATGTAGGCGTGACAACAAGAACAGAACAAACGGCACATCCATGAATGGTTTGGTCTCCATTCCCGGGCCGGACGGGGCTGTCTTTACGTGTGACAGGCAGAAATTCTATTTCCCCAATTTCCAGTTCCAGGTACAATTACTAAGGAAACTGTAACAAACAAGCCATTACGTAGATAGCTCCTAAGATCTTGGAATAACAGGAAGCTTCCATGATTGTGGTGTCTCCATCGAAAACTGAGCCTCATGGTATTTCAGTTTTAGCTGGCCATCCATTCCAGACCTTTTTTACTCTTTTCTCTTACCATACCTTTTCGGTTATCAGATGAAATCAGCCTGGTCTGGTTGCAGCAGTTACTTGCGTGCTTGTAATTGAACTCTACTCTATTCACATTGACAATGTTCCGTACCTCGTCTCGCTCCCTTTGGGGTGTTGCCTCGAGAGCTTCTTCCAATCGAGCTTCGCAATTCCTCCCCCGCGCATCAATTGCGCCTCTTTTGCGTCAGCAACGCGCCGTTTACTCTAGCAAATCCGACGAAGAGAATCCTCCTCCTCCTAAGCAGCCCATTGACTATGAAGCTGAGCGCAAGCGTGGACAAGAGCTCCTCCAGTCCAACCCAAGTGTTGTTTCATCGAAGAGCTCGGTCGCCAATGCCACTACGGCAGCCCAGGGCTCTAAGAGCGCGGATCAGGACATGACTGGCGAGCTTAAGCATGATATTGTAAGCTTCAATCTAGAGTAACACTCGATTTGGAAGACTCTAACGATTTGTAGGACATTGTCAAAGATACCTTTACTTTTACAGACGTTCCACGCGAATCGAGCATCCTCGGTTTGGCTGGTACCCTGCCCTACCTGGGAACTTCGCTTTCGACTGTCTTCCTCGCTTGGGACTTGAACAAACCAATTCCCACGGGCAATTCCTTCTACGATGCTATCATGGTCGACCATGAGACAGCCAAATACCTGCTAAGCGCCCTTGAGCCTATTCAGCTTGGATACGGTGCTGTCATCATCTCTTTCCTCGGTGCTATTCACTGGGTAAGTCTACAGCTTCACAATGATTGCACATTCAGCTAATCGCTTGTTTATCAGGGTCTTGAGTACGCAGAGAAGCAACCCCTCCGTGAACGAACCCTTTTCCGCTATGGCATGGGCCTTGCTGCTTCTATCGTCGCATGGCCAACTCTTATGCTCCCCATCGAGTACGCGCTCACCTCTCAATTCATGGCCTTCGTCGCCCTCTACTTCGCCGATTCCCGTGCTGCTACAAAGGGATGGGCCCCTCGATGGTACGGGTCATACCGCTTCCTTCTCACAGCCATGGTCGGCCTCGCCATCTTCATCTCTCTTATTGGCCGCGCCAAGATCAAGCAAGGTGATGCCATCACTGCCAAGGGTCTGAGCGACAACTTCGCCAGGTCTGGTATTGCTGATCACGATACCAACTGGGAGAAGCTAGAGGCAGAGGAGAAGGCTCGTCGACGAAAGCAGAAGGAGGAGGAAGAGAAGAAGGCAAAGGAGGCCGAGAAGAAGAAGAAGGAAGAGGAGAAGAAGGGTAAGAAGAAGGATGGTAAGAGTGATGATAAGGCCAAGAAGGGTGATGACAAGAACAAGGCTTCTGAGGAGGGTGACAAGAAGGGTGAAGAGAAGAGCGAGAGCAAGGACAAGGATGCCGAGAAGGACGACAGCAAGGACTCTGAGTCTAAGGACGAGGGTAAGGAGTCCAAGGGAGACGAGAAGGAGTCTGACTCAAAGGATGAGTCCAAGGACGAAGACAAGAAGTCAGAAGAATCATCTGACAAGGAGTCAAAGGACGACTCCAAGCAAGAGTCCGACAAGAAGGACGATAAGAAGGAAAAGTCTGAAGACAAGAAGGAAGAAAAGTCCGAGGATAAGAAGGATGACAAGCCTGATGATAAGAAGGACTAACTTGCTGTCACAACGAGCAAGTTGAGCATGAGCTGAAGCGCTTAGCGATCACAACGGAGTTCCGGGATTTACTGTATTATTTCTTACATGTTGAGTTAATGAATTGATGTGACAAGATACTATGCTTGGATTTGAAGACTATGTATGACATGAGGTAACGGTTATTGACATCACGCTTGAATTGAAGAATGTGATAATATGGATGAAGGCAAATCACCAACTTGATGCATTAAAAAACTAGGTATCTCTGACCCGCCGCGGGTATTGCTTCGCAAAATCCCAAACACAGCCTTGGTCCATGTGTAATTCTATCAGACCCTCGAAGAGAAGCGAAACACTGAAGACAGATGGTGGCACAACTTCCAACGCCGTGAAAATGCAACCTGACCAGGACCGTCTGTGTCAGTCCCAGGAGTACCCATCCAGCTTTTCCGCCATAAACCTCCCAAAAATCATCATCGTTAAAGTACTAGAACAAACAATCATTGCACGCCGAGTTTCTAACAATGCCCCTAAGGTCGAGCGAGTCCTTGCTTGGCCTGTAGATGGTCAGTTTCAGTCGCATCGGATACTAATAATGTTGAGTTAACGTACCTTCATCTGTTCAATTCGGGCTTTCAGCTGACTCGTCACCTCTGCCGCCCTTCTCCAACTCTCGGCCCCATTGCCTCCAGTAGGCTGCGGTAGCGATGACATAGGCCGTTGAGAAGGCGCTGGTGCGTGGTCGTCGTCGCGATAAGATGCAGCACTTCTGTATCCTCGTGCGGGAGATCCACGTCCGGATGAGCTTGCGCTACCAGCATATCGCATCTCAGGGCTGAGCTTGTTGCGGGGAATCATTTGCTCGCCATTTTCCTTCTCTTCAGACATGCTGCTGGTGACGCTCATTCTATGGCGGCTCACCGACGGAGGTCCATGGTCTCGGTAGACATCGTCGTGTGTGGGAGAAGCAAGGCCAGGGCTGTTCATACCATTTCCGGAGCTACCCAATCCTTCGGCACGGCTCAAAGCCTTCTTAAGTCTTTCTAATTCGCGTCGCAGGCGGTCGTTGGTCTGTTCAGTAGCCTCTGCATCACTTCTCGCGCGAACCAATTGTGTCTCCTTGGCCTTGATGCTCAAGACATCTCGGGTGTGGTCCTCGATCAGGCCAGCATTCTGGTTCTTGAGCTCTTGAATCTCTGACATGAACTTGCTACGTTCTTGTCGCATCTCATCAACTTGACGGGTTAGCCGATCGTTGGCTGCTCTAAGCTCCTCAATCTCGGCGCGCTCCACAGCAGTGAGACCGCTGGATGGAGGCGGCGATGCCGGTGCAACTGGGGGTGATGGTGCGGTAGGCTTGGCGAGGGAGCGTCCGGCAAGTCCACGTGAGAGGCCAAGGCGAGGTTGAGCGGGTGGTGCAGGCTCATCATCGGGCATGACAGGGGCAGCGGGCGCTCGGCGAGGAGAGCCAGGAGCCGGAGCTCCAAGCGTTCTCTTCTGAGGACCCTTCAATCCACCAAGTGTAGGCTTTCCGAGCTTGCCAGCGGCAGGTCGTGAGCTTGGCTGGGGAGCGAGAGGAGCATCGTCAGGCATCACTGGAGCCGCAGCAGCAGCAGCGGGAGCAGCCTTCTTGGCCACGGGCTTCTTTCCACCCATGACCTTCTTGGGGGGCGCCGCCTTAGGCGCAGGTGCCGGCTTGGGCTTGGGCTTCTCCTTTGCCTTGACTTCAGCGGCCTCAAAGAATTCCTTGACCTTGTTCTTGCGAATGTCGTCCAGTCCTTCCAGGTTAGGTGTCATAGCACGCTCACCAATAATCTTCATGATCGTACCAAGAATCTCAGCACCACCGTCTCGAAGAGCAGGGCTTGACTCGGACAAGAGCTTCTTTCCAGCCTCGCAGATAGTAGCTTGCTCAGGCTTGCTGGGCACATCTCGGGTGTTTCGTAGGCAACGAATCAAGAACTTCATGGTACCCTCCTTGACCTGAGGGTTCTTGTTTCCAAGGTATGTGGTGATGTCCTCAAGACACTCAGTCAAATCGGTGGAGGCGAAAGCAGCGTCAAGAGCGGCGCCTAGAGCATCCGCGACAGTAGCCTTCTTCTCCTTGAGTCGATCCATGATGGGCTGCATCACAATGCTGCGATACTTGGCAAAGGCCTTTCGCAAGCCCTTCGCGAGAGCCTCAATACAGAGAGCAGCCTGAGTGACGACGGCAACGTTGGCGTCCTTCATGCATTTGGCCAATCCACGACAAATTTCATTGAAATCGGTTTCCTTGATGCGAGGAACATTAAGTGCCTGGTGAAGACCGTCGACTGCTTCTTTTCGGTCCTTCCACTTCGAAGAGGCGAGCAGGTCGCTGAAGTTGGGCGGGATCTTCTTGCTAACATCCTGAGGTTCAGCCAAGTCGAAAGCGTCGACCTCACCAACATCTTCGCCCTCTGCTTCACCTTCTTCACCCTCCTCGCCACCTTCAGGGGCAGCGTCAATAGCTTCTTGTTGCGATCGGAGGAGTCGTTCTTGCTTGGGAGGGCCCTCAGCCTTAATCTTCTCAAACTGCGCTTCCAAATCGGTCTGTTGGGTAGGCTTGAGCTCGCCCCAGAACATGGGCTTCATAGCCTCCCTGAGCCATCTGTAAAGTTCGACTGTCAAGTTCGTTGCCTCAGCACGGACGTTCTTGTCGGCAGCACCGAAGGCTTTGGGGAGCGCTTTGAGCACAGGTTTGGGATCGACGACCTTGCAGCCATAGTTGTGGAAGATTTGTGTAAGGGCGTTCAGTGTTGCAGCAACGTTCTTTGGGACCTTATTGGAAAGGCCGGGGAGCATGTCCTCAATGACGGGTCCAGCGACATCGAGTTCAATGTACAAAAGCAAAGCTTCGATGGAATTTTGCTTGATCGCGGCACGTGTGGAGGATAGACACTTCTCAACCATGGGTGTAATGGTCTGATTTCGCGTCCGTAGACAGCAGTCTCGTCCACCATATTTGAGGAATGCGCATAGGGCGGTGACGGCTTCTTGCTGAGCGGCGACGTTTGAGTCGAGAACTGCTTTGTTCCACAGGCCGGGCTCGTTCAAGAATGGTCGGAAACAAGGATCGGACTCGTCGGGAGACTTTTCGAACTGCTTGGTTGCTTCTTCGTATGCTCCTTTTCTAACCTTCCAGACCTTGTGAGTGAAGCGGTCTGCCAAGGGTATGGAGCTGAAATCTTCTTCTTCAGCCATGGTAGTGTTTGAGGGGGGGATGTGTATTGGGGAGAACTCGAGACGGGATATCTTTCGAGTGGATGATGTTGTTTCTTGTTGCTGTGCTTTATAAGGCGGACTAGACGGGTGATTAGCTTATGAAATAAACGAGAGCGGCGAGGAGGATCCATCGTATATATAGCTCTAGTTGGACTCTCATAAGCGCGCGAGACGCTCTACAGGAGCAAGGACAGGCTTGATGATATTTGAATGAACGTAAGTTAAACGTACCAGAGTTTAAAGCAGCGGATCGAACTGCGGGTATCAAATAGAGGGAAGAGGCTTTGTCGCGTGAGTGAAAGGGCAATGGATGAATGTTCAAGAGGAAACAAAGCAGATATGCGTCGTTCTTTCTATAGAAGAGTCCAGCGCAAGGTTAGTGAATCCAAATATGTAGAGGAACAAGCATGCGCAACAAAGAAGCAACTGCCAAAATAAGGAAGCAGGGCAGGGTAAGGTAAGAACTGGCAAGGGACTCTAGGTATTTGTTCCTAGATCCTTGTTGTTAGGTTTGGGTGAGGGACGATCAAATGGTCTTGTTCGTTTTTTGGAGGGGAAAGTCAACAAGCGCCCGTCACCTGATTTGCAAGGGTTGAAATTGAGGTGCCTGAAATGACGGCGGGACAGAACAGAATATGGGGTCTGATTTTCAGGGACCTCACTCTACTTACAGTTTGTCTGTACGTCAGGTTGATAGTGCAGATGTTTTGTCGAATTGGGAAAGACAAGAGTTATATTGAGAGTTAAATGGGTTTAGATGCTGTGCCACAGACCCTCCAAAATAGACGTTCCTGGCTTATGACTGTTCTGGTGTGTTGTCATTCAAGTGGCCCGGTTCTCTTTATTGACGCCCAATCTGCGCCATTGCCCCAGAAACAGACTGCAGCCACACCAACGTCAAAACGCATGAAGATCAACACCTACAGCCAAGAAACGGTTCAGAATTAATTACCGGACAAAACACTTAGAAAAATCAAGAATTACTGCCAGATTATTCCCAGTACCGAAGCCATCAGCCACATATCTGTGTGTTTTGAAGAGTACTCCCTTCAGATGGAGAAGAACAGGTGTCACGCGCAAGGGACTCCTCTCACATTCCAACAGTAGCTCTAAGCCTTCAGCTCAACTACAGGGTTAAAGCTCCAACGCCATGAAATGTTCCTTACATTTGAACAAAGCAGTCAATCTGGCCTACTGAAGTTCGCCTTGCTTTTCATTGCGTAGCAACGAACCTTCTAGTAAGCTATTGACGTGTCATGCATGCTATAAGCTGAAGAGTTATGTGCGTTGGTGTGATATCCACATTCTTCAACAAGCTTGGAAAGGAATCCAAGACATATTGATTGAGGGGTAATTATGGACATGCAAAATATCAAAGATGCACTAGACGTCATGACTGGTCCATGTAAGAAAGTGATTGATGAAGGCTGTTGTCTGATATTGCCTTCAAAGCTGAAAGTCCAGTGTTTACAGCTTCAAGGCCATATACTCACTTCAAGCTCGCTCTACTCAAGCACAGCTCAATATTGGGTCATTTTGGGATGGTAAATCGATTTATAGGGAGATCTCAAAGAGAATCTCGTATGGTTCTGTCGTTTCTTCTCTACGCATTTCTACAAAGAGCCCTCAACACCAGAACCCCGATGTGCCATACCATTCACCAAGTCTCTCACGCCCGACAAGGGCCCAAGTTGCTGGTGGATGGAGTCAAACACGCGAAGGCTATCGGAGGGAAAATCACGTGGTGATAAGAGTCTTGTAACACGGGCCTTCTGTCCATCCTGGTCCACCATTCAGCCACCAGGAACGAGACTCCAAAGCGTAATGGAAATGGCCAAATACTCCCATCAAAGTAAAGGAAAACAAGAGAATTATGGAGGAACTCAAAGTAGACAATTAATTAGGTATAAATGAATCGCTACCTTATAAATGATCTCGTAAACGAACGAGGTGAAGGTTCCAAGTTATCACGTGTTGATAAGATAACGTTCTCCAACATCGTCATGCCTCAGCTTCCAGTTTATTTCTATGTCTGCCTGTCGCGTCGCAAGTCTTGCTTCCCCATCCTTCAAGTGCGCTTTCGCACGCGAAACTCACAAACAACATACAGAGAGTCACCAGATACACTCTCAAGATGAACGGCTCATCGCGACCGTCCTTTGAGCCCTCGCGTCTCACCAAAGCCGCCGCGGCCGAATATTCTTCATCAGCATCCGAATCCGAAGACGAGCACCTTGCGCCAGGTCTCGATGCCGACAACGACTTCGGTGATTTTAACCCCCGAAAGAGACGTCGTGTCGGTGGTAATAACAAAGAGAAGGCTGCGCTTGGCATCTTTGGCTCCGACAGCGAAGACGACGGACCTGCTAGAAAATGGAAGAGGACAACCTTGAGAAATAAAGGCATGAACTTTGTGTCAACAGGCGCAGGAAGCGATAAAGAAGATGCCGACGAAGACTCCGAAGGCAACCGACCGATGCTCGGAAGCGCAATGGACCAAGATGACGACGACGATGAAGAGGAGGATGAGGGCAACACCGGAGTGGGACTAGGCTTCGGAGGTGTTGCACGCGGTTTTGCACAGAACGATACCCAAAACTCAAGTCGAAGCGCGAGTGCCGAAGCAACATCTCGACCATCATTTCGAACCCGATTCGATGGCAAGAACCCTCTTGGTATGGGCTTTGTCCCATCATCAGCAAACGACCCGGTCCTCAAGAACCCACGCGACGAGGGCTCTCCGACACCACGTAATAAGCCACAACCGAGTGCCTTTGGCGCAAAGGGCAAGACAAACCCCAAGTCTTTCGGTGCCCGAATGATGGCAAAGATGGGCTACCAGGAGGGTCAAGGTCTTGGTAAAGAAGGCCAAGGTCGAAATGTCATTATCGAAGCGAACCTCCGACCGCAGGGTATTGGTCTGGGTGCTGTGAAGGAGAAGTCTGAGCAAGAACGAAAAGAAGAGAAGCGGCAAGCCAAAATGCGAGGAGAAGAAGTTATAGATTCGGATGAGGAGGAAAAGAAGAAGCGCAAGAAGGCCAAGAAGAAGTCCCTAGGTGCTGCGTTCGACAGCGCAACAAGTACACCGAGACGACAGAAACCGAAATATCTTACGGCAGAGGAGCTCAAGGCTGCGGCTCCAGGTCTTCATATCCCAGATGCATTTGCCCCTATTCTCGATATGACAGGGCCAGGGAGTAAAATGCTCACATCTACGAGTGGTATCATGACACCGACGACAGGTACCGCCACGCCAGAATCAACAGAGGTGATAGAAGCGAGAAAGCTTGTCAAAAGAGCCCAAGCAGACTTGTTAGCATTTTCTGATGAATGGAAGAGCTTGCAAGAGAGAAAGACGTGGATAGACCTTGAGCTGAAGGAAAAGGAACAGGAGATGGACGATTTACGATCGGATTTCGAGAGATTGCAGGTCTTCTCCGAGTTGGTCAGCGGAGAACTTGCGACGGCTGACTGGGGCCAAGTGATTGGGTGCCTAAAGAAGGCTCTTGAACTGAAGGCCACGACATCAGAGATTGCCGACATCGCTGTTGCGGCTATTCATCCTTTCCTTCGAGAAGGAGACTGGGATCTCCTACAAGAGCCAACACGGTTCGCATCAGATCTCAACGGACTCAAATCACTACTTATGCCATCGACAACGAATGGCAAATCTGTCGGCAAATGGGATTCTTCGGCAGCAGTCAATACAGACGACATCTACCGCCGTCATCACAAATCCACAACACCATACGAAAGCATGATGTACAAGAATTGGTTGCCCAAAGCACTCGCGGCTGTTCGGTCATGGGATGTCTATAAGCCAGACCAAATGCTTAGCGTCATGGAGGCCTGGGATGACCTCCTACCATCGTTTGTCCGCGCGCAGTTCATCGACAACATCGCTCGAAAGCTGGAAACAGTAGTATCAGACTGGAATCCTAAGAACAGACGTCAGCACCACAGTCTACCGCACACATGGCTATTCCCCTGGCTTCAATACCTCCCCTCATACCATCTCGACCCCAAGGGAACAGGTCTTGTAGCAGATGTCAAGAGAAAATTCAGACAACTCATCGACGTATGGGATTTCAGAGAGGGTCGCTTACCAGGTCTTACAAAATGGGAACGCATTCTCGGCGATCAATGGCGACCCCTAGTAATGTCCCACGTCCTCCCCTCAATGGGCAAATATCTCCAGAGAAACTTTTCAGTCGAGCCATCAGATCAGGAACCCAGTCTTCCTGTGCTCAGGGGTATTCTGAAATGGACGCCCACGCTCGGCCGAAGGGTTATTGCCGAGGTGCTGATACAGCATTTGTTTCCCAAGTGGCACAAGACGCTGACGGAGTGGCTGTCGCTTGATGAGGTTGATTTGGGCGAGGTGGCGGAGTGGTATGGTTGGTGGAGGGGGTTGTTGCCGGAGGATGTTATGGAGGTTAAGGGCGTGAAGGCGGAATTTGATACGGGGTTGAAGGTTATGGCGAGGGCGGTGGCAGGGGCGTGATGCGTTGGACGGAGATACGCAGATGGAGTGTCTCGGTTGATCGGTGATAATGTAGCGTGGGAATATAGATTTGAATAGGGGTTTTTAGAAATGAATCATATGCCCATCTGGATGGATGGGTCACGTTATCAGTTGTGTCTCAACCCTGATCTTCCTCAGCTTCGGTTGTTCCGTGAGTTGTTGAGGGTCTTTTGTTTATTGTCTGATACATTTGAGGGGGCACTTACTATTCAAGGATTTTCATCTAAGGCTTGAGCAGAACGAGGAATAGGCTCTTTGGACAAGCATCATACTGCATCCCTTCTGCGAAGAGGCGAGCGACAGATGTGTCCTTGGTCTCTACCCCCTTTGCTTCCCATGACGAACAACTCTAAACACAGCAGATCAAACAACAAGTTTCTCTCTCGAACAAAGAAGATCTACAGTCTTCAGAAAAATGGCTGTACGAGTTCATAAGCGTGGCTGTCTCAATTGCCACTCTTTCTCGAAGTTCTTCATCACAAGACGCTTTCCCTAGTAGCAATACAATATTCTAGTGCGACGTCTAGAAGATTGAGTTTCAGATTCTAGACAGATCTTCATTGAATTGTCCATTATAAGATATTCTCCTTTGATGTCGGTTCGTTTATAGAGATTAATGTGCAAGTTGAATCAAAGACATTGAGTTGCAGAATGGTGTACAGGGTCCTGAAGACTCACAAATTCGGATCGCAAACCCCGAAGACAGAAGAACAACATGATATCTAAACCCTATAAGAAGAAGCCTTCTTCGCTCTTCTGGACATCATCATCCTCATCACACTCCTCTCATTCAAGATGCATTATCTCAAGCTCCTCCTCGCTCTTCTGCCTGTGATCATCGCCGCCCCGACCGCAACAGACGATGATGATGTTATCGAGGGCGCTTACATCGTCACTTTGAAGCAAAAGCTTGACGAGAAGAAAGTTGAGCAGCACATTGTTTGGGTTGACGGTATTCATAACGGAAGTGTTTTCCGCCGAGCTGAAGATGGTGTCAACAAGGTCTGGAACGATACCTTTAAGGGGTACTCTGGAGACTTTGATAAACAGACTATTAAGGAGATTAAGAAGAGCAAAGATGTAAGCCAACTCTTTCTTTTGTGATTGCTTGATACTGATGTCGCTAGGTCCTTGCTGTTGAGCCTGTTCGCAAGATCAATCTTTACGAGACTGTCATTCAGCAGAAATCGACCTGGGGTCTTGGATCTATCTCGCATCGCACTCCTCATTTCAACAATTACATTTATGATTCGTCTGCTGGAGCTGGAAAGTATGCGTATGTTGTTGATACCGGTATCAATATCAAGCATGACGAGTTCCAGGGCCGGGCGGCTTTGGGATATAATGCCTATCCTGGTGTTGGGTTTGTCGATGCTAATGGTCATGGGACACATTGCGCTGGTACTATTGCTGGTAAAGAGTACGGCGTGGCCAAGAGAGCCAATTTGATTGCAGTCAAGGTGTTTCACACAGGCAGTGTAAATCTTTTGCTCTTCGTTCATAGACTATACTGACATTCGCAGTCTCGAACTGATATCGTGCTTGATGGGTACAACTGGGCTGTGACCAACATCACCAACACTCCAGGCCGCAAAGAACAAGCTGTTATATCCATGTCCCTCGGCGGCGGTCGCTCAGACGCCTTCAACGCCGCTGTTCAAGCAGCTTACAGCGCAGGTGTGCACACGGTCGTGGCAGCAGGAAATGACAACGCCAACGCTTACAACTACTCACCCGCCTCGGCCCCCAATGCCACGACCGTAGGGGCAATCGACATTGACAACAACCGAGCCAGCTTCTCCAACTACGGCGAGCTTGTTGATTTATTCGCGCCGGGTGTGAATATCAAGAGTGCTTGGTATACGAGTAACAGTGCTACTAATACCATCAGTGGTACCAGTATGGCATGTCCGCATGTTGCGGGTTTGTCGCTGTATCTCAGGGCTAGGGAGGGTTTGACGACGCCCAAGAGTGTGGCGAGGAGATTGAAGGAGTTGGCGACGAGTGGTGTTGTTCAGGATGCTGGGAGTGGAAGTCCGAATCTATTGGCTTATAACGGAGCTCCGCTGAGTTAGAGTGAGTATGAAGGTGGTTGGTGTTTGAGATGGTGATAGACATAAACGATTGGGGTATTATAGGACACTCGTTTATTTCTTAGATACATTCGTTCAAATACTCTATGCTTCTAGACCTGCTTTTCTGATAACATTTGATACGATCCGTCGCTTTATCATTCATACCCTCGCATCGTCTTCACAGAATTTGCATGTAAGAGATATAGGGTAAGCAAACAGCGCCGATAAATACCATCACATAAAAATAGAAAGGCCATAATTCACTGTTCCATGCTTTTCTTTGCTTTGTGGTTGGTGTTCAAGCTGTATCTTCATTCTGAGCCTACTCATTGGCCAGAATATCAAGCCACGCAGAAACAATGAGGGTGTTGATGTCAATGGTGCGAGCACAGAAAACGTGGCGGGGCAGGGTTGGGATGATGAAAGAGGAAAAGAGGAGGTCCGTGATGAGATAGCCGGTTCCGGGGGGGTCTTATAACTCGCAGTAAAGTAACCCACTGCCCAGTAAATAAAATGATTGATGAACCTGTGTAACAACATGACCACATTGTATAACCCACTGAATGAGTTGAACTGTGAGATTAGCTGCTGTCATCATGCAGCGTAAATTACATTCAGATCCTCCTGCTCCTGTCCGCGGCGTTGCCCCTTTTCCTGTTTTGATTCGAGGCCAGTTTCTCCACATAAACCAGACGCATACATCATATGGACATGGTATTGATAGAAACAACAAACAATAAACACAAGACAGCAATGTAATCAGATAAATAATTGTTGGTTCAAACAGAGCATCGTATACCAATTTGATAGCTCGAAAAAGACGCTTCTGCAAGCCCAGATGTCACTTACCATCAGCTTCATCAATTCAACCGCTGCAGCCGCCACACAAATCAATCCCATGTGCTGCGGGAGTGTCGCGTGCGTGTGAACCTGGTCTTATCTCGGTATGGATTTTCAGCTTAGCCTCTAGGCCTGGCCTGTGCTGTGCTGATTATCGTTGGCTCTCTTTGCCGCTGCCGCTGCCGCTCGCTAAACCACTGGACGCCCTTCTGTGCTCAACGGCCACTGTTTGCCCGCTTGTGATTGTGCCCGTGCTTCCTCAATCAACCACTCCCAGCTCCTCCATCGTGAGAGCCTGACATCACCGCAACTGACGAACTGTCTGTTTGAATTCTCTTCCGAGGCTACTCCTCAAGCTCTTGCTTTTTTATTTTCCAGGTCACTATTTGCCTGTGTTTTACGATATTCTTGGCAACGAGTGATGCGACGCGACAGTCGTCATCTTGCTATTGCTTTGCTTCCAGGTTCTCTACTTACCACAATCAAGGCAGATTATTGATTGATTAGGCATTCTGGGAATGCTACAATTTGACTCCTGACTATACCTTCTATTATTCAGCTGTACCACTACAAAGTTTGCTTGCTGAGGCGAGGCAAGTGAGTGCGCACGACTGCTGAAACTCACTCTCCGCCCACCGACCTGACCCGCCTACGTCTGCCTGACTCAACTCGATTCGATTGACCTGATTACATGATCCATTTCGACTCCTCCACAATCTAATCTTCAACCTTTCCCCTTCCGCCAAACGCTGGTCCCGCGACAGCGACAGCGATAGCGAATATCGACCCTTCACCATGTTTTGGAGATTCGGCGGTTACGCCAACATCTCCACCATCGATACAATCCTCGATAAACCAGACTTTACCCTCGAGGAGCTACTCGAAGAGACAGACTTGATCCAGGAGCTCAAGCAGCACAACTCAAAGCTCATCGAATACCTCCGAAGCGACAAGGTCCTCGACAATCTACTCGAATATGTAGTCGCTCCAAAGCTCGAGACCGTCGAGTCTCCCGACGAGTCCACCGATCAAGAAGCCAAGGCCAAGAACCGTTTTCTCTCTCTCTCGCGACCGCGCGCATCATCCCGCGCCACCGACCCGGGCGACGATGAGGAGGAGCAGGAGAAGAAGCGCAATCGCTACGCTTTTGTAGCTTGTGAGATTCTCAGCTCTGATACGTGGTCCATCTACGAGGCTTTGGCTGAGAACAGACAATTGATTCGCGATTTTTGGAACTTCTTGTCCCGCCCTGCCCCGCTCGATCCCCTCCAGGCGAGCTACTTCACAAAAGTCAATGAATCTTTGTTCGAGAAGAAGACCGAGGATATGATGGAACTATTGACAAGTCTTCCCGATGCTGTTCCTAATTTACTCAAGCATGTTGAGTGCCCTATGGTCATGGACCTGCTGCTCAAAATCATTGCCCTGGACCGTAACGAGGGTGGCCAGGGTGTAGTCGAGGTGCGAAATCTCCCCACTAATCTAATGCATCGGTGCTAACATCATGGCTTTTAGTGGTTGTACTCCAAGGACATCATCCCGAGCCTTCTTTCCTGCCTCAGCCCTGAGAACAACTGGGTTGTGCAAACCGCCGCAGGTGACTTCATCAAGGCAATCATCACCATCTCTGCCAACGCCTCCCAGAACGAACAACAATGCATCGGACCTAACGAGCTCACCCGTCAGCTTGTTTCCAAGCCATGCATCGAGAAACTTATTGGCTATATGCTTGGCGGCGGCAACCCTCTGACTGTCGGTGTCGGTATCATTATTGAAGTCATTCGAAAGAACAACTCCGACTATGATCCCGATATGGGCACCGAGGTGAGCGCTGCACCCTCCAGCCGCGATCCCATCTATCTGGGTACCCTCCTTCGTCTGTTCGCCGAGAACGTTCCCAAGTTCATGAACCTAATCATGGATGTCCCGTCCAAGAAGGACAAGATCGACTCGACCTTTGGCGTCAGGCTCGAGCCCCTTGGCTTTGACCGATTTAAGACATGTGAGCTCATGGCCGAGTTGTTGCACTGCAGTAACATGGGCTTGTTGAATGAGCCGGGTTCCGAGGAGCTAACAGCTCAGCGTGATGTCGAGCGACAGCGTCTTCGTACCGAGGGCAAGTTGGCGCCGCTCAAGGAGGAGGACCAGTCCACTGACGACTTGACCATGCGAAGCGCTGCACCTGAAGAGAAGAGACGTCTCGAGGTCACTAACGCTGACGACGATGGTTTCGAGGAGGTTGAGCCCAGCAAGGAGATGAGTGAGGATACTTCTCATGAGTTTGTCAAGGCTGAAGACGATATCCCGGGCACTTCTACAACTTCGCTCGGTAAGGATGAGGATGACTTTGTTGATGAGCCGCTCAACCCTCCTCAAACAGGTGCCAAGGGTGACGAGACACGATTCGATGAGCCGGATTTGATGGTTGCGCCTTTGTCACCTACAAAGGTCAAGACCGCTGAGCCTGCGTCTACAGAGCCTGCTAAGGCTGATTCAACTGAGAAGTCCGAAGTCAAGGAGCCCAGCAGCGAAAAGTCCGAAGAGTCCAAGCCCAAGACGATGCAAGAGGGTGCTCCAAAGGAGGACACCTCTGATTCTTCAGCTGTCCTGACTCCTGCTCCATCCGAGCCAGAGTCCAAGGCTGAGTCTACTGATGTCTCTGTCAAGGTGGAGGAGCAGCCTCGAGGTATCTCTCCCCAGCCGGACGATATGCCTGCACCTCTCTTCTCTGCTCCACCTCCACCAGAATCTGGAGCTGATCGCCCACCACAAGCGGCTGAAAAGGCAGCTGGTGATGCTCAAGCTGCGACTGCTGAGACCTCAACCACTGAGGCAAAGACCGAGGAGGCCAAGGACGACAAGCCCAAGGAGGAGCAGCCTACCGGTCAGGCTACCGAGGAGCCCGTTGTTGGAGATTTCCTGAAGCTTCAATTTGTTGAACACCGCGTTGTTCCAACCATTCTTGTAAGTCAATCATGCCCTCCACTGATTGTCATCTAACATGGGCAGAACTTCTTCTTTGCATACCCCTGGAACAACTTTCTGCATAATGTTGTGTACGATATCGTTCAGCAAGTTTTCAACGGCCCCATGGACCGCAGCTACAACCCCACACTGGCCGTTTCACTGTTCGAAGCTGCCGACATCACAAGTGCCATCATCAACGGCCAAAAGGCCAGCGACGAGTCCCAGGCCAAGACCAAGACCCGCATGGGATACATGGGGCACCTCACCCTCATCGCTGAGGAGGTTGTTAAGTTCACCGAACGCCATCCTCCGGAGCTCCTCTCGGAAACTGTTCTCGACCGAGTCATGAGCCAGGAATGGATCAGCTACGTTGAGGGATCACTTGCCGAGACACGCGAGCGAGACAATGCCATCCTTGGTGGTGTGCGACCAGAGGTAGCTATGGGCAACCGGTCAATGGGTGGCAGTGGACTTGGCGGCGTTGGTCTATCTGGCTTGAGCGGAGGCTCTGGCGGTGGTGGTTCCAGTGCACTTGCGGAAGCTGGCCTTAACGGGGGAATAGAGCTCAGCCAGGACAGCGGGAATGGCATCGGCCCTTTCACTATTAGTGGCGCCACATTAATGTCCGGCTTTGGTAGCAGCAGCGACGAGGAGGATGAAGATGGGGATGAAAACGAGGAGGATGTCAATTCCGAGGTGAGTGGTGTTTCCGCTGAAGCTGAAGACGATGGTCCGGATCACGGCATCCCTGGATACCCTGGCATAGCAGAAACACTTGAGGATGTGATCATGCGGTCTCCTGAGACTTTTGCATCACAATTTCCTGACATGGATTATCCGGAGGATGTCACAAGGGGGTCTCCTATGGACTTGGACGAGACTGTAGCACACCCTCAGCGTTCATCTCAAGATGAAGAGCAACAGCATGCTGAGCAGGTTGAGGATGTCTCAAAACCAGAAGGCATCTCTTAGGAGGGCGCATCTTACTGGGGAACACTCGATCGTCCACGCACAAGACGAGAGAGGCGAGACAGGCGGCGGCCTGAGATGCTGCAACTGGACGACCTTGAGACTTTTGAGGACGTCGAGGTTGAAGAGCTCATGAGGCTGCTGACGACAACGAGGTTTTGAGACATTTATACCAGGCGTTGTGGGATAGAATGGGTGGATGGATGGGCATGGGGGGTAATCATGTAAGGTCTGGATTGACCTAAGTTTGGGATCTGTATAGAATTATGATTGGTAACGGAGACAAGAGTTAGTAGTGCACGCAGCTACGAAGGAACGAAATGGAAAGGGGGATCAAGCTTCGATGCCAGAGTTTTCAGGACGCCTATCCCTCCGACTCATCTCATCTCATCTATCACATCTCCTAGTGTCAACTGATCATTTCACTCATGAGCGCCTCGTACTGACGAGACATTTCTAGTTCCGAGCTTACACGGACCCCTTGAACAACTCAGGATCAATGGAACCTCCATCGGTTCCCCCACCACCTCCACCTCCCCCGCCGCTGAACATCCCTCCTTCTAGGGCGAGACTCCAACTAGCGGCTCGATTGGCGATGCATCAGAAGAACAACCAAGCACAATCATCTGGAAATTTCAGTAACGACGATGATGACGATGACGAGAACCCTACAGATCCATTTGCCGATACAGAAGAGGACTTTGACGATGATGATCAGACGCAAGGTGATGAAAGGGGCGCATGGTGGCGAGACGTGGTGAGGGATCGTGGAGGAAAACCAGACGGAAATGAATCAGACGACGAGCGTGACGACGACGACGATGATGAGTTTGGAGACTTCGCCATGCCGGAAGACGACGCTCAAAATGTTATAAGACCTCAGCCTGTGAATCCTGCAAAGGAGGGCTCGGCTTCAACGAGGGGATTGAGTGGATTATGGCCGTTTGGACTGTCAAAGGCGGAGAAGGAAAAGGAGGGGAGTAGACAGGCGGCTGAGGAGGAGAAGGATGATGAAGTCAAGGCTGTGGAAGTTAAGGAGGCGAAGAGACGAACGAGTATTGAGGATCCTGATGATGATGAGGTTGTGGTTTAGATACCTGGGGTGGAGGGTTAATGGTGTACGATATGATATAGGAATTGCTATGGGTTATGTGTATGTAGAATTGCATCAAGACAGTTGTTTCAATACGCGGTGTGTCTTGTATGGAGTTAAGTAGTCTTTGGATGTCGTGGATGGTTGAGATGCTGCTTCTTTGTGGGGGGTTCGCTTTCCAGGAACGTAAACACCTTTCTCTCAATTGCTCAGTGCCATTACAGTCTCTCGATCTAGCTCTCAGCAAGATTAATAATACACCCAGAATGTTGAGCTTGGGAGGATTGCATCCCCTGAATCATAGCTGAACTCTCAGGCGCTTAGACATGACCCCGTCCTAGGGAGCAAGAAAACTTCTGACATTAAGCCAAGGTGCCAAAATAAAACTCATACAAAGGCCTGCTAAACTTAGCTACATCTTTTTGTCACTTAGGATAAAAGGTCTTACTCCCTGAGGCCCGTGTCCAACGGAGTCTGAAGTGTGAGCACTAAACCGCCCCAGCTCATCTCGCTTATAGCCTTATCTCGCTTGTTACCGAGGACTCCCGTCTCGGAAACACGGGAAGTCCTTGTTTGAAGGGAATCATACTCCGTATTTGACAATTATTTTAGTCTTTATCTCGGGGACGGATGAGGGTTTGATAGTTTGTTTTATGTATAGAGCGGGAGAGAAGACGGGATGAGGAGGGCAGGGTGTTTAGGGAAAAGTTTAATGTGATGTGTTTAATCTCGGTAAGTTCGCCCTGCAGATCTGGACCAAAGTTCTCTTTTTTCTTTTGGATATCGCTAAACTTCTGCAAGGGCTACAAGGTAAGGATCTGATAATAATAGGTACAAGGTGTCGGTTAGATGTATCAGGTCAGAGTGTAAGACTTGCAGATGCGAGGGTGACAAGTAGAGCGGTCAATGGAGTGAAAGGGGAAAACTTGCGATAATGGATTTTGGGGGTCAATCCTTCAATGTGATGCTATGACGAACTCTAACAAAGTTTGGAGTTCAGACCTGAGGGTATCGGCCGTATTAATGGAAGAGTAACATCGTTGTGAACATCAGTATTTTATTCTGTCAACTTGAAACAACTTAATTCATTTCTCTAGCTTTTTCATTATATGTTGACTCAATCTCGATGATTATCAAAGCCAAGTAAATACGAACAGACACGCATTGCGGCACGTCATGGCGTGGTAATAGAGTATTAATCATGGTCTCAATTCGCTATGGCGTTGAGTCGCGGGTACTTAGTGCCTCTCGTTGAGCTGGGCGGATCTGGGGTAGCTTGTACAAAAGGCAGTTTGGGGGCTATGAGTTGGAGACAGGATGGAGGGCATGTCATAGAATTGATGGTCTTAAAACAAGAGAAGATAACTATGTTGCATCTTCAATTCACTTCCTGATGTGTTTTTGAGTGCATCATCACAATGTCTCTCCAAAGACCAAGCCAACCAAGGCTCATCACCGACTTCTCCCACGACTCGCCCGGCCAACTCATAGAAGCGATAGCCTCAACACTCTCGATATCCCCCAATGACATTCTTCTCTTTGATTCATTCACCGAACTAGGCGGCGATGAAGAAACAGCCGAGCTCGTCCGTCAAGCATGTCAAAGCAAAGGTGTCGATGTTAAACGCGACGACATAATGGCGTGTCAGACGTTGGCCGAGCTTCAGACAAGATGTACCCCGAAGTCTAGGTCTGACTCGGTAGACTCTTATTCTTCCTCCTCAAGTGGTAGCGGAAGCGCTGGGGGAAACAGTAGGGGGGTTAGTGCTGGGGGTGGTAGGGCTGCAGGGGGAACCTCAGCAGTGGACCCTAATTTGGAGAGCTTACTACAGTCATTTCCCAGCGTCAGCAGCGTCTGCATGGTCTGGCCCAGAGCAGGCCCATTCGACGGCCAACTCGTTGCTCTTATTAAGATCGACTCTAGCCTCCAGAGCAGTAGTAAATCTCTACCTATCGACTTCGTTAGAGACGAGATTTCTTCACTTCGCATGGCCGTGCAGCATCCCCAGATATGGATTCCTACCGACTTTGACTTTGCTGACAAACGTGGCTTGCAAACATGGGTGCAGAACATGGACGAGATTACCTACAAGGAGGTCATGAAGCTTCAGATTCCTACGCGACGACGGGTGCTGAGGAGGGAGATGTCCAAGGTGGGGAGTGAGGATTTGGAGGTGTTTCCTCTGAGTCCGATGCAGCGGGTTTATTTTCAGGGTCTCGCAGACAGTGAGAGATGGACGAAAGGGCTCTTGGTTAGGGTTAAAGGCGGTGCGGAACCGGCTGATGTCGACGCTGCGATTGAAGCCATCGTCGCTAGGCATGATATGCTCAGAGCAAGATTCGTCAAGGAGAATGTGTGGATGCAGTGTGTTCTTCCCAAGGGCACGAATTCTTACAGTCTTTCGCATCATGTTGATGTTAGTGAGGATGAGATACTCACGCTCATCAACGAAACCGAAGATGCGATTGATCCGTTCGGTGGACCGGTTTTTGCGGCCATGTATATTCATAACCAGGACAAGCAGATGCTATATCTCGTGGCGCACCAACTCATCCTCGATTCACTTTCCTGGAGGATTATACTCAGCGATTTGGAGGAGTTACTGCAAAAGGGCACGCTTTTGTCGGAGGGCAGTGTGTCATTTGAGCGGTGGATTGAGTATCATGGCCATGAGATGGAGCAGAGGTTGTTTGAGCCGACACTTCCGTTTGATGTTTTCTCTGCGAATCTGGAGTATTGGGATTTGGATCAGGGAGCGAATACCTACGGAAACTCAGACCGGTTATCTTTTCAGCTCACGGCGGAACAGGCATATTCTCTCGAACAATCATCGGCTCAGGTCTTGAGAACAGATTCGGCAGATGTTATACTCGCTGCACTGCTCCTTTCATTCTGTCAGGTCTTTCCCGATAGAATCCTACCGACGTTATGGAAGCAGGAAAATGGACGGGGTGCTTCAGAAGGCGACTTGAACATCCTGGAAACGGTCGGATGGTTCGCTTCACTATGCCCCATCGGTGTGTCTGTTGATTCAGAGACAGATTTGATCGAGGTCATCACTTTGATCAAGGATACGAGGAGAAACATTCCAAGATCAGGCGTTCCATTCTTCAATTCTGAATTTTCAACATCTCAAGGCGCAGCGATGAACATCCCCCTCGAAATCATCTTCAACACAATCGACACCGCGAAACAACTCCAGCGAAAGAATGGATTGTTGGAACCTATCTCCATCCCCGGCCAAACAAGCTATTTCAAATCTACCATTGGTTCCGACATTGGAAGGATCGCTCTTTTCGAGGTCTCAGCGATGATGGATAATTCTGGAGGTCAGATTGATGTGGTGTTCAACAAAACTTGCAAATTCCAGGACAAGATCCAAACATGGATCCAAGTCTTTGAGTACCAACTCCTCGAAGCAATTACGAAACTCGAATCACACGAGCCGCAACTTACACTCTCCGATATTCCCTTGCTTCAATCTTCATATCAAGCTCTTGAGAGACTCACGTCAGATCGAAGGATTAACGCAAAAGACATTGAAACGATACAGCCCATCACACCAGCACAGCAAGAACTCCTCATCGCACAATCCCAAAACAGCGAGTCTTTCCACGTTCATGTTTCTTACGAACTCACCGGCTTGAATCACATCATCGATGTTACGAGATTATGTGAAGCGTGGGAAGTCATCGTTGCAAACACACCTGCTCTGAGGAGTATTTTCATCGACGCTGTTTCAAGAGAGGGGCTATTTGATCAAGTTGTGCTGAAGAAAATCTCACCGAATATTTTATTCATTGAGACTATGGACCCGAGAGAAGCGATTGGGACGTTGCCGGGCTTGAATATGGGGTTTGGTGAGCCAAGACATAGACTCTCGGTGTGTTATAATCCTGAGGGGATGATGGTCAGGCTTGACGCTAGTCAGGCACTCTGCGATGTAAGTCCCTATTCACAAACTATGGGTGAATGCTAATGGGTTTAGTTACCGAGTCTTCATCTTTTGGTAGCGGAACTAAGCCGTGTGTACTCCGGTCAAGATCCTCAGGACAATTCAGCGCTTCATAACACATATCTTCACCAAATCGCTTCCATCGACACGGCTTATAGTCTTGAAGTTTGGAAAACGAGCCTTTCCTACGCGAGACCATGTATCTTCCCACCCCTCTCAACAACCACAAAGGACACTTTCCACGCCGTCCCTTTTGATCTCGATATTCCAACGATGCAAATGCGCATGTTCTGCCAACAGAATCAAGTACACGCCCAAGCTGTCTTCCAGCTCGCATGGGCTCTCGTCTTACGTGCCTTTGTAGGCATGGACGCCGTTACATTTGGATATCAATTCTCTGCGCGCGACGAACAACTCCTCTGTGGGATTGAAGAACTTGTGGGGAGTTTTGCGACCATTTTACCGTGTTGGATTGAACTTCCGCCTTCTGCTTCTTTGAGACAATGTCTCGCTATCGCGGGAGAAGGGTATTCTAATGCTAGGAAGCATGATAATCTCACCATGTCTGAAGTTCAGCATGCGTTGGGGCTCAAGGATAAGAGCTTGTTCAACACTTGTCTTTACTTCCATGAGGAGAACAATCTCGTCGCGGGCGATGAGTTGATAACCACGCCTTTGACATCTGGGCGGAAGACAGATTGCGATGTGTCGCTTACGCTTATGTTTATCAACGATCGATTACACGTCAACTTCACATCCCGGCATCTTTCAACTTCTCAGATCCAGAGTGTTATGAACAGTTTTCACTCAGCCTTGACGCAAATCCTCACAACATTTGAGAAATGCATCGCGGAAATAGACCTTCTTACAGATAGGGACTACGCCCAACTCGTAGTTCAAGACTGGACCACCCAATCTCAAAAGATCTCTTCGTGTCTCCACGACGTGATTCTTCAACATAGTCTTCTTCGTCCAGACGCAGAAGCTATATGCTCATGGGACGGCGACATAACATACGCCCAACTGTCAACGCTCGTCTCACGCCTAAAAACGTACCTCGTCAATCTCGGCGTCGGGCCAGGAACTATAGTCCCTGTCGTTCTTGAAAAGAATCACTGGGCTCCGGTTATAATCCTAGCTGTTCTCTCAACCGGTGCTTCCTTTGCAGCGTTGGATTCGCAGGATGCTAGTACGGTGAAATCGACTATTGATTACCTCAATCCTCATATCGTTCTGGCGACTGAGACGGCTTGGAAGGATCTGAGCTCGTTGGCTATTAATCTGGTCATTGTGAATGATACCTTCTTTGCGATGCTAACGCCGTATCTTTCGACGATGGGGCAAGAGGCAAGTCCTGACCATGCAGCGTGTATATTCGTCACGCCCAAGAAACCGAGGAGTATTTTCTTCACGCATGCGTCGTTACTGTCTGCGTTCTTTGCACAAGGACCGGCGTTAAAGCTCAACAGTGACAGTCGTGTTCTTCAACTCTCAGCCTTCAACGTCGATATCTCCCTTGTGGAAATTCTTGGGACGTTGGTTCACGGTGGTTGTGTCTGTATTCCTTCACCGCACGAAAGAATCAACGATATCGCTGGTGCGATGGCTCGAATGGATGTTACGTGGTCGTACATGACGAGTCTTATCGCGAGGAGCATTCATCCCGATTCAGTACCGAGTTTACGAACGTTGTGTTTTCGTACGAGAAAACTTGATCCTGATACGTACATGCCGTGGCTGGAAGATCATGATATTCTTCTTGCGTACGGCGCACCGGATATTTGTCCGCTCGGTATTTCAGTCACGGAAGTTGAGAAGGATAACAGTCTGAATGTCATTCCACCGCCGGTCACAGGTCGTTTTTGGGTTCTTAATCCTGATAATCCTAAGAAACTCATGCCTGTCGGTGCCATTGGTGAATTGGCGATTGACAGTCCTCTCGTCACGCCTCATCGTTTTGCACTGGATAAACCACTCGTTGCGCCGGATCCTATGGAGGGTGATCGGCATAGACCTCGATATCTGAAAACAGGACATCGTGTTCGATATCTCGACGATGGAAACGTTCAATTCATTTCTAGCGTTCGCGACGAAGTAAGAGTCGGAGGTCTAATGGTCGACGTCGCTCAAGTTGAACAACTCCTCCGTCGTTGTCTAGGCCAAGGAATCGATGTAGTCGTTGACTCCGTCACAATGCGCGACTCAGGGCCTTTACTAGCTGCGTTTCTTCAACTCGGTCACGCTATGCAACCTAACGAGAATCTTCACACCCTTGCCCCTGAGACTAGAGAACGAACGTACATCGCTAAGAAGATGTTTGAAACGTCCCTCGAGAACCCAACGTCGAACACCCCCCGTCTTCCACGACACTCTATCCCCGCAGTGTTCATACCCATTAGAGCATTTCCAATGTCAACGTCTCTAAAAGTCAACCGGCGAAAACTCCAACGCAGCGTCGCTAACCTCTCAACTCACGATGTTCTGCTTATGTCGCACGTTCCTAACCCAGGAGAAATCCAACGTGTGACTCTCTCGCAAAAACCCCTGCCCTTAACAGGCCCAGAAGAAGCAATGCGAGAAATGTGGGCAAACACACTTGGGATTTCTGTATCAGCTGTGAAAGGCTCAAGTACCTTTTCATCAGTCGGTGGGAATAAATACCTCGCTGCTCACCTCGTCATCACAGCTCGCAAGGGGGGTGTTTATATCTCACTATCTGATCTTTTGGATGAACGGTCACTTACCGAGATATGTCGCTCTGCTGAGTCTTCTACGAGAAAACTCTCAGCTAGAAAACAGGTTGCGAGAAAGATTGATACGAAATTCGTCAAGGAAGTTATAGCACCGCAGCTTGGAGTGTCTTCACCAGACGTCCTCGACTTCACTGAAGCGTCCTCGCAACAAGTTCGCGCTCTCGAACTAGGAATGTTTCCAAGCCGTGCAGATATAATCTGTCTTGCTCTTCGTTTCAACGGTCCCATCGATGCATCGCGTCTCGAAACAGCGTGCAAGGCCCTGAGCGATATGCACGCCATTCTCAACGTAGCGTTTATTTCGCACTTGCATGCCGTGTATCAAGTCCATTGCGCTTCTTTCAAACCACCATTCTCGACGATTCCCTGTACTACAGGCTCTCTAGAGGAGGTTACTCAGAATCTCATCAAGGAGCATCAAACTCTGCCTTTTGATCCAACGACACCTGTTACGAGCTTTGCATTCTTAAATGCAGAGCAACAAGGCTGTTTGGTTATTCGTCTAAGTCAATCGCAAATCGACGATGTAGCAGCTCATTTGCTCGTTCACGAACTTACATCTCTTTACGAAGGAGACGATATGACTGATGTACCGAGATCTTCGTATCTTGACTACACGCGCGCTTCGCGAGTAACGCGTGCTCAAGGTTTAGAATACTGGAATGTTCAACTTGAGAATGCAAAAATGACAAAGATCATCGCTCACACACGCCCTGTTCCTCCAGCGTCTCTGTCTGAGATTCGAACGATAAAACATACAACTTCTCTAGGCCATTTATCCTCCTACGGAATGACCCCCGAAGCAGCGCTAAAAGCATCATGGGCCATCGTCCTGTCTACACTCTCATCCTCCCACGACGTTCTCTTTGGTGAAGTAATCCACACTTCAAACCCTGATATAGTCGGCCCTATGACAAACATCCTTCCTGTACGGGTTCAATTCCCTTCCAGTCACAGTACACCTCTCGATCTCATGAACTGCATCCAACTTCAGCGCCAATCACACTCTCGCTTCGAAACATTCGGGTTTCAAGAACTCATTAACAAATGCACCAACTGGCGCGCTTGCACACGCTTTAGCACCGTCGTTCAACATCATATCCCTGGACCGCACGATGGATCGTCGACGATGAATATCGACGGTGCGACGTTTACGTATAGGATGGTAGAAGCGTGGACGAGGGACTTTCCAGATCTTTTTGTAAGATCGAGCATCGAAGCGAATGATCGTGTTGTTCTGGAAATTAAGTACTCTGAGGAACGACTTACTACGGCGTTTGTCCAAGGTTGTTTGAGTTTGCTTGTTGCAGCGTGGGAGACTATTACGCATCCTGAGACGATTCATCAACCGATGGTTCATTCGTCAGATGAGATTTCGAGATCACAGAGGCAGACTCCTTTACCTGCGAAACAACCTCCTCAGGGACCGCCCGTTGAATCTCTTGATTCATCTCAACGAAAGGATCTTCAAGTTTCTATTGTCAAGGCCTGGGACAAGGTTATAAAACCTTCTTCCACAAACATCCCAAAGGATAGAATCCCCACGACACCGTTCTACGCTATCTCAGGGTGCATTCTTCCCGCATACACCCTCACGGCTGAACTCAACAACGTTCTCCCCGTCAGCATCACACTAGAAGATGTTTTAGCCCATCCAAGCATGCACTCTCAACTCGAGCTCGTAACACGACTTCTCCCTCCCAAGTCAGACTCTACATCCTTACTGCGACCAAAGTCAAAATCCGGTCCTGAACGCTCAACGACAACAGCACTTCGCAACGGGCTACGAAATCTCAAGAACAGAAATAGTATGCTAAGTCTAAAGAGCAGCTGGATCAAGAACAAGCGCCCTTCAACGGCTCATTCAGACGATGAACCCGTCCCGGTTATCCCAGAGACAGTACCAGAAGCACCCGTTCAAGTCCTATCCCCCATCCCAACAATCGTCATTCCGGAGATTGGGTCTTCAGATACACCTGTTAGTCCAAGCGGTCCAATGTATGAACTCGACGGTGGCCCTGTTCTCGGTGATAGACGAAGTAGTGGAGGATCATCATGGACAACTGTTGAAGAGGGAAGTCTGATGAGCCCAGTAAGCCCAGTTAGTCCAGGACGGAGGGTGTCGACATGGGGAAGTATGTTTGAACTACCCATGAGAGGATTGTCACCATTTGGAAACAGATCGCCGAGATGAACACTCATTGTGATTTTTTATGTTGTGCTATGCCTGTTGAGGCTGATGGATAATGATGATAATGTCTTATTTCTTAGTTTTGATAATATGTAAATAATAATGAAGGATACCCATGCTCAAGGCAAGAAAACCTGTGACCTATATCCAAAGTGACAAAAAGACTTGGGTAAGTTTGATACAACTGAGTAGTTATTTTTGGCACCTTAGCTGAAGGTCAGAAGTTTTCTTGCTCCCCCAAGGCCATTGAACCAACTCCAGCTCGCTTATGTGAACGCCAATACCCATGGCTCTGAGTCCAAATTGCAGACTTGACCGAACTGATTCAACTGACACCATGCTACTCCCCAGCTTAACTATATCACATACCAAACACCAAAACTTGCAAACAAATTGTCCTTGGCTACAACCTCTTGGTTTTTTATACAATATCTGTCCCAACAGACAACCTCTATGTCAATGCAACCGGGGTATATAAATCTTCCAGGTAATTCAAAAATGTCCCAATACAAAAAATGCACGCTCAAATCCCATATACATTGCGCCAAATCATCTCATCATGATGCCCCGGTCGAGGCGGCTAGTGGAATTCACCCACCCGAGGACCGAAGTAATCCGTGCCCTCGAGAGGTTGAAGAGGACAGGCGTCGTCCTCGCATCCTACGTAGCCGACTGTGTTGCCCCACCAGTTGAACTCGGTGCCTTCAAGCTGAAGGGAGAAGAAGATGATGATGCCTGCAATGGCGATGCCGCAGGACCAAGCTGCAGAGAGCACGAAGTTGTACTGCAATTGTTAGTATTGACTTTGATGAATCTGTGAGGTAAACTTACTTTAGACCACAAGCCGAGGTAGCGCGACTTGAGATAAATCCAGGAAAAGTACGCAATGGGTACCGAAGGCCAGACATACGACATGTTGTAAGGTGCCCAAACAATACCTCCATACATGATAGCCACGGGGTGAATCTGTCTTGTCCAAGTCCAGTTGGGGAACCTGTTGTTGATAGCCCAAACAGCCAGAACAACCACAACACCCAGAGGGAAACCAATCAAGACTTCAGTGTAAAGACCATTCTTTCCAAAGATCTTGCTGGGTCCAACAGTACCCCAGAGAACGGAAGCAGTAAAGAATGTGTTGACACTAGGGCAAGTCATCTTCCACCGGGCATCCTCGGTGCAGACCCCTTCGATCTGGGTCATCTGGAAGTTGAGAACACCAACGCAAACAAAGGTGCTGATGAAAGTAGCGATGATCTGGGCGAAGAAAGTGTGTCGAGGAGGAATCTTGACATAGTGAGCAAGCTTAAGATCGTTGGAGAACATGACAGCGTGGGCGCAAGTGACGTAGCCGAAAGACTTGAAGTAGTTCATGGCCAGGGCATTGCCTTCAACGAAGGAACCTCCAATGAACTCGGCAAGAACTGTAAGAGTGACCTCGATACCAGTCATGGCCTTGATGATACCGACGGGAATGACAAACACAAGGCAAAGTGCAAGGCCGTAGAAGATGACACCAGGTGAAGTGTGAGTGTCCCAACCAGCGATACCAGAGATACCAAATGCAATAGCGCAAACAAGGCAAACCATGTACCACCATTCGGGAACTTCGCGGTACGCCTTCATAAGACGAGTGTGAACGTCGAGATCATGAACCTCCTCGGCACGCTTTGACTTTCTCCTCATGCTGTTGAAAAGACCCTTGAAGCCGGTAACAATTTCGCGTCGATGGAACAGAAGAGCATAGGTAAGGGTCGAAGTGTAGATGCCAAAGAAGAAGATGTAGATAACAACGTTTCCAGCGCCCAAGAAGGGGGGAGAGTAGTCGGCGTATTTCTCGGCGTCGAAGAGTCCTCGGTCGTTGATAGCTCGAGTGACGTTGTACAGCTCGCCCCAGCGATCGTAGACACGGTTGGTGTTGATGGGAAGGTATCCAGTGTTGTAGATGTTGGAGTACCAGAGGCCGAGAACCACCCACATGGAGATGAAAGCGCCAACAAATCGGTTGAAAGTGCTGAAGAAAGGAACCATGAGAGGGTCAGCAGAATCCCAGAGGAGAACGTTCCAATCCCATGTCGGGAATGGGTTGATGCCAAGACCATTGTTGAAACCGGTGATGGTGTTGAGGTCACGGTTGTAGGGATCAATCCAGGACATCCAGCTGAAGTTGGAGAGCGAGGTCCAGATGTAGTTAGGGAACCAAAACCAGACAAACATAGCACCGAACATGACATAAAAGAACTTGATACGAGAAACGCGCCAAATCTTGGCAAAGGGACCCTGGACCGGGGAGTTGTTGTCGGTATGGAAAGCCGAGTTCAGCGCAATAGTAACCAAAGACGCAGGCCAAACGCAGTACGAGGGATAAACAAGGAAGCGACGGCAAACACCAGCCATTCCATAGCCGATGAAGTTGGTGCTCAGCGCGATCAAAATCTGGTAGGCAAAGTGGGAGGCATATGGCTGGTTGAAGTACTGAGGCAGGTACTGAACCCAGATGATCAAGTTGGTGTAGGGAGTGTTGTACGCAACGTTGGCCATGATAGTGATAAGCATATGCTCCTTCTTGGAAAAGGGACCTGGGTTGAGGGAATGGCGCACACCGAAGAGAGTGATGCCATAGTCAGGAAGCCACCTTTCGAAACCTTTGCCAATTGGATACGAGAGCAACTGAGCGACATTGGCCATGATGCGAATGGCAGGTTGGCGAATATCGAAAAGCTGATTGGTGAAAGCAAGAAGCATTGAAAAGACAAGACCGATTGTCCAACTTCGAATGGTTGATGAAGGGATGGAAGTATCATCCTTGTTCTCGACGACGGCACGAACTTCGGCGTAGGGGCTGTTATTTGTGATGAGAGCAGCCTCGAGTTTCATCTCCTGCACCAGACTCTCGTGCTTCTCGGGGTTCGTAAAGAGTTCATCGTTCTCGAGGAAGGCCTTGATCTTCTGGATAACCACGAGTGGAAAGTTGGGATCCTTCTCGTGGATGCGATAAACGCGAGCCATTATGTGGCGCACATCTTCGAGCGTGTACTTTGAGGCCAGTTCGCGAGCCTCGAGTAGGTCATCTTCGGTAACGTGAAGGTCCTGCTCGGTGGTTTGGAAGTCGGGCATGTCATCCTGATCGTAGGAGAAAGACTGTTGAGGTCCTATGTGTCAGTCTAATCGGTCCGCAGTAGGTTTGGTCGAAATGATGCAAGTAGCGCAAAGCAACGCAATGTAACTAGACTCACCTCGTCAAACTCGGATGATGAATCGCTGGCGACATTGTGCTGAGCCGGAGGCAATGGGTCAAGAGGGATCTCTTGAGCCACGCCTGTGGAAACCCTCTTTTCGTTGTCGGCCATGGCCAAAGGCCTCCTTTAGGCAATGGATCTTGAATTCCACCAATCTCAATAGCCGTACCAAAGTCCCTCGACCTGCGGTCGCTCTTTATGCGTCTTTAGTCGATTGCGCGAACGGAAGAATTGACTTGGGCGATGGGTATGGCCAAGCGACGAACGTTGATGCGGTAATTCGAATCGTGTCAAGGAACTCGAAGTGTTCGTGATGGTGCTATTGAGGCGATTGTGGTGGTTGACAAGAACGAAAGAGTGACGAGATGGCGCGACGGAACAAGGCTCGCAGGTGAATGAGAACGGCGGGAGTCGGTATTGAATACGTTTACCACGGGCGAAGTGAGTGGTAAAAGCAGGTATTCTAGCGTAGTCAAGGCAAGGCCTGTTGCGTGGGTGGTCGGATCGAGAGTCGAGTCGAGTCTAGACGAGTGGAACAAGGTACGCGTGGCGCTACCGTCGGTAGATAACTCTCAGCTGGGGAGGGAGTTTACTGCAGGTATCGCGAAAGGAAGGGGAATACCCAGCAGAGAAAAGCGAAGCGAAGCCAGAATGAGGAGAAGCCCGTGAAGGTACGAAAGACGTGACGAGAAAAAGAGGAGGAGAAGATCGGAGTCCGGCAAAGGGCCAAGTCAAGTGTGAGGGAGGGTGAGCGAAATGGAAATGACGGGATGGACGAGATTCGCAAAGCAATTGGAAGCAAGCAAGGGCCCTGAAGTGAAAGAGAGTTACAGTGAGAAGAGACGGGGAGCGTAGGGGAGTGGCGGGACCTGGACAGACGCAAGACAGGGCAGGTCAGGATTTTCGGTGGAGAATTGGCAGACCATAAATGGAGTCTGATTGGTTTGGAGAGACACGAGCCGGGGGCTTGGGCTTGCAAAGAACCCCCAAAAAAAGGCTCGGGCTCGGAACTAGGGAGCCGTAGTCCAAAAGCAAGCAACCCAACGGCAAAGACGGCAGAAGATACTTGCCGCGGATATCACTGAGGGCCTCCATAACAAGTATCCGTACCTGTTGAGCTGATCCAGCACTTAGCACCTCAGGCAGGGCAATGTCTCTGGTCTCTACCATAGTATTGTCTTGGCTCTACTGTATCTACTGTCCACTGTGTCCATTCTATTCCTTGATCTCGAAAGACAAGACAAGACAGACTTGGCAATGACTACGAATGAGGCGGGAGGAATCAGTCACTACCCCTTGGCTCCTAGTTGGTCCCCTTCTCCATGTCTTGGCGCTATCGTCAAAGTGGAACAGCCACCACCACCACAACCTGCAAACTACACGGCCACTCCGTTGATGATGACTGAATAGGAACAATCTCAGGTAATATATTATCTCGGATATTCATATATTCAGTTGGTGATATCCCATCTTTATCATTGTATATCTGGACATGTTTGTTGTTGTGTCGTGGTTGAATGATATCTCAGGTACGTACCTCCTCGGAACTGACGGCACGGCTACCGGCCTGTTTCGTCTCGGCGCTGTCCTCTCACTTCTGCTGCTCTCACAGTGATTGTCGCTCTCTGTCTCTCTCACGCCGATTACCCGACCTCAAGCCACTCAAGGAAATCTACAGTTTCCTTTCCACTTGTAACATTAACGAAACATGCCCCTTGATCCCTCATTGGCCTCTTCGCACTGATCATCAACAGCTTCAAAAGAACACGGGTCTCGGCACGACTTGAATTGTTTGTTCACAACTGTCGTGATTGTGTGGGGTGGGATTCAATGTGAGGTACGAGCTGCATTTTACGTCCATGGATGGTGCTGTACGACCACGGCACACCAAGGCCATGCCGACTGACATGACAGTATTCTTGGCGATAGTCATCCAAGACCTGGTTGTAGATCTTTTAGTGTGCTGACACATCAACATTGGATCCAATTGTCAATTGAGCTGACTCATGGGGTATAGGGTGGGTAGGTTTGTCCAACTTCACATCACTCAACCACTCGTGCATTGAACACCATCAATTACACAAAGAGTCAGAAGACTAATATTAAGCTTGTGTCCAAGATGTTGTTTTTGGTTGTCAGAGGAATTCTTATTTTGATGGGGCATTCTGTACAGTGTTGTAAGTACCGAGATCAACACTCTTCGACACTATTGCACTGTATGAGTACGAGATGATATCAGGGATCATGGCATCAAGACACTTCCACATATCCTAAAAGACAGAACTCCTCTCAAGAATGATACTACATGTGCTTCTAATTGTCGCGTGCATAAGTCGAGCCGCAATCAGCCATAAGCCCTTGAATAGTTCTCAAGTCAACGTGAAGTATGGGTAAAGTACCATAAATACCCAGTGTATGGCATCAGAAGAAAGATCAAACGCCGCAAGAAATGACTATAATATGTCCCAGAAAGAATATCGGAAACAAGAGACCTTGGTATTAAACCAGAAGCAACACTCAGGCAAATTTAGGATAACTTGTGCAAGTTTAGGACACCTATTCCATAATAGCGCATGCGCATGTTCTTTGACTTTCGTCTTTCGCCTATGATCAAATATCAAGTTAAAACAAATACAAGGAGATTAATTATTAGTCTATCAGTCTATATTCCCATATACCTAGTCCCGCTTATACCTAACAAGATGATCAAAACCCTTGAAACTCCTTCAAAAGACACATCGCCTCGTCCCTCAAAGCGAGTTCAAGATACCGTCAATGTTGGCAAAGGACAGTAGCTTATTCGTCTCATACCAGACCTTATCCGTAAAGGCCTTGCCCTCCTGGGTATACAAGAATTTGGTATAACTAAGAAAACTGGTTAGTCATCGGTTATGCCGAGAACTCATGGGCTTGAACTTACTGGTGAATTCTCCAATCCATGATATAAGATCCATGGCTCTCCTTTCCCATAACAACACCAGCTTGTACAAATGTACTGGCTCCATTCTTGATGCTTCGAGCAGTAAGCCAGTTGACTAATGCGAGGATATATCTAACCACGATATTACCCTGATCTCGTGTCAAGCTGGTTCCACCGACCAGTCCAGGATCAACCAGGTTGACGATCACATCCTCCGCTTTGACGCGCTCAGCTAGCTTGACGATCCAGAAGTGTGCGAGGGCTTTGGTTCTGGAGTATGAAGGAAGGGGGTTTGCGCCGGAAGAGAAAAAGGCTTCTTTGTCGTAAAAGTCCAGAACATTCTCGTCTTTGGCGTTGGGGAACTCGGCCATTAGAGCTGTGCCTGAGTTGACGATCGTGAGATGTCCTGGTTGACCGGCCGGAGCTTTCTGCTTGAGTGTGGGAAGAAGTAGGGTCGCGAGAAGAACGGTAGAGAGGTAGTTGACCTGGAACGAAGTCTCGTGGCCCTCAGGACTGAGTTCAAACTTCGTCATTTGTATACCAGCGTTGAGAATGACAAGATCAATACGATCAAGAGTCTCGCACTTTTTTGCAAAGTCTTGAACGCTCTTGTATGAGGTCATGTCGACCTGCCAGACGAGGATCTCGGCACTGGGATACTTGGCGCGGAGGGTAGCTGCGGCAGCTTCACCCTTGGAGAGACTTCGGACGGCGATGATGAGACGCTTGAGGTTCATGGAGAGGAACTGCTCTGCGGCGCCATAGCCAATGCCGGTGTTTGCGCCGGTGATGATGATGGTGCTGTCTGAGAGGGAGATATCCTTGGGGATGGGGACGGGCTTGGTGATTTGGGAGCGGAAGAAACGATAGTCGTCTGGGGTGAGTTCAAGAGATTTGGGAGCCATTGTGTAGATATTGAATGTGGACGGTGGGGAAAGCTTGAATAAAAGTGATGATAGTTGGTTGGTATTGTTGTCTTATTATTGTAAGAGCTGATGATTGTATTGATTGTGATGTTCTGAACATGATCAACGATGTGGACATCCATCTCTTTTATGTCTTTTACAACTACACTAAGCATCGCGATATCAAACCGCATATTCGCGAATGAGCCGAAAAGGAAAACAGTTCTCAATTCTATGATGTCTTGAGTGGCATTGCACGACACCGTTGACGACAACATCTCTGCGACAGAGTGTGATTGGGAACCGCTTTAGGAAAGCAATAGATTGCACGCCAACAGTTTATCTCTGGAAGGGTCGAAGGAAGCATGCATTTGCGGGCCTCCTTGGACTTCTCTGCATCTTATTCGACGTTCGGACAGGCCCTCAATGCCCGAGACCGTTGGCTTTGGTATGATGAAGGAAGCGGGGCAGATGCATCTCGGACGAACATTAGGGCGAGAGGTAGGCAAAATACAGGCGTCAGTGAGCGAGAGACCTCTGTTGCGGAAGTGACGCCGTTATTCTGTCATAATTCTTAGCCAGCGATCGGCTTTAAGCTCAATCGCCAAACCGACACTAAGCCCTGTGCTCTAACCAAAATAGGAAAACAATCGTGTCTTGGCAAGACGATGCTGACAGCTCCCCCCAAGCTCGATTGCTTTCCGTAAAGAGTTAACAATCTCATCTCGTCTCAACCCAACTCAACTCTCTACTCATCACTCTAAGCTTCATTCAGCGTTTTGTGAAGCCATCGAAGTTATCGGTCTGAAAGAGTGTACCCTTGCATTATCTCAGAGTCATCATGCTAGAGCCCTTCTTACAACCAGTCCCCGTTCCGGAATCACTTCCAGTGCGGGCTAAGCCACGAACTCGAAAGCCTCGTCAACAGGGCCGTGAGTTACCCTTGAACCACAGATTACTAACAAAACTTGATATAAACAAGTACTGACTAAGTACAGCTAAAAAGTTCGAGTTCGTCTCTTCAGACCCAGTGGGCAAACCAGCACCTGAATCTCGCAAGTTCATCCGCAGCCATGTAATGCGCGGCAAGAATACAAAAAAGTCACCTCCAAAACATCCAACACTCGACGTTAGAGTCGATGCACTCCCCGGAGCTGATGACGATGTGGAGGAGCTAGATCGCCCTGCACCCCTGGCGATCACTCGCTGCACAGATGCCATGTGGACTGTTGGCCATACGCATGCTCGCCAAGACAGAGCTTGGGTTGAGTCGCCTTCTCTTATGGTGCAACTAGTCAAGCCCCCGCCTGATTTGGATCTTTTTACTTTTGCTACGCCCCTTGATAAAGACTCCAGGTATTATATTTATAGATGTACGGTTTTCACTCTGTTATACGTGATGCAGCTAATGTTGTAGTCCTTACTACCATCAAGGAGACACTGTACCCTGCAGAATGGTGTTTCGATGCCGACACCGAGAAGGTATGCTGGTTCCGCTGGCTGCTGGAAGACCCAGCCTACCTTCACTGCATCTGCTTCATGGTCAGCGCCTTTCAAGACCTTATCAATATGCAGTCATTACTTGGGCGTGGGAAATACGAGAGTGGATGGGGCAGAGAGTTCTCAGCATCAACACGGAATCGTCTTCGACATACCATCAAACTCCTACAAGAAAGGCCGCAAGACCCAGCCAAACAACTCGAGGATGCAACTACAGCGACCATCATATCGCTGGCTATGATGGCTGATGCGATGGAGGATGCCCAGGCTTTTGAAGCTCACTCTAATGGCCTACGGCGGATTGTCAAGATGAGAGGTGGCCTGCAAGGATACACCCATAATCGACAATTACAGATCAAGCTCTGTCGGTGAGTTCCACCCCCCAGTCCAGTATTGACTACACTAATACTACGGCAGCGTCGACCTCGGATGGTCCATAAGAAACGGATGCAAACCCGAAATCTACAGTGGCAAACCAGCATGGGAACCTCTCTTAGAAGCCTTCGGAACCGTAGCCTGCTCCTTCGAGATCCAAGAACCATCCCTGAACTTCATGAACGTCTACTACACATGGGACTGGAGATTACAAAATACTTTTAAAGATCTTCGCGACTTTTCCGCGCTGGCTAATAAACTCTCGCCTCAAGCGCAGAAGCTCAAACCTGAAGCATTCCAGGAGATTATGTTGTCAATACAGTATCGACTTTTACAACTTGACTTTTCGCAAGATCCAGCGCCGATTCAAGAGGCCTTGCGGATTGGTCTTCTTGCTTACGAGTCAACCATTTTCTTGCAGATTCAGGGCACGAAACTAAAGTCCGACTCGTTCAGTCGACAGTTTCGCGATGCCATCCAGGCAACGCCGGTGCAAGGAGAGGCGACGGCCAACATCAAGCTTTGGCTTCTTCTGGTTGGGTCTATCATGGTCTATGATAGTAGTGAAGATTGGCTTGTGCAATCGATAAACAGTTTGACTGGCCGACAGAGCTGGGAGGAGGTGCGGGAGCGTGTGAGAGAGGTTATGTGGATTGATGTCATTCATGATGTCCCTGGTCGGAAGGCTTTTGAAGCGACGCAAACATATAGATGAAGTGTCAGCGCAGCTAGACAAAGGTTGCCTATGCAAGCCTCCGTCTCTCGGTCAGCCTCAAAGATACTATGAATAACAGAAGCTTTGGTTAGCTCTATGCTGTAACGCAAATTTGACGGCATGCTGTCCGTGGAGCAAACGAAGGGCTATGCCCCAGGTCGGGCTGGGCTGTCACTTCAAAGACTCAGGTAATCGCTCAGCCCGGAGTCGCATCAAGACGAATACGGTGAAAGAAGAATTTCCCTCTCATGTCAAGGAAACGATGGAATGGTAGGTTCGTCAAAGAGCCTGCCTCAAAATAGGTGAAGGTTGATGGGAACATGCACTTCAACAAACCAGATGCACGCAAAAGCCATGCCCAACAGCCTCAGCCTACCTGAGATCGTTCGCAAGAGTCATTTCACTGATGGACGCTGAAATACTGTTGGTTGCTGTGTGCTATAATCTTCAGTACATTTGCGCCACTGTTCTTTGTTCTCTGGATAGAAGCATGGAGCTATGGACAATTTTCGCCTTTAATGCCGCAGCTTGCTACATTTACGCAGCTGCCCGCGACGACATATCACAATCTTGCTGCCTCATTCTTCACCTTATGTGTCTAATTCTTTATTTCTTGCTGTTGAGCCCAGCTGGACCTTCAAAGCCAGGCTTTCATCTGGCGGTGAATGTCTACAAACAAAGAAACGGCGGTATTCCTTCCAGTAGTTTGGATATGTGTAGTTAGTATGAGATATATCATTCACTTGATATCTAAGGAAAGCAATTCTGAGAAGTATAAATACCCAGTCTACGATCCTCAACTCACCTTCCTCAACACAACTTCCTCTTTTCAACAGCCAAGCCAAGAACAAGAACAACCCCAACAGACCACTCTCACAACTTCCTCCTTCAGCACACAGTCAAGAACAAACCAACTCAACTTTTCGTACCACGAACTCACACAAGTCACTACATAACCATCGCCATCATGTCTAACTACTCCTCCTCCGACAAGACTCCCGCCAACAATGCCGCCTCCCCTTCAGAGACCCTCTACAACAACAAAAACCCCATTCGCTTCGCCCCCCGCGGCACTCAAAACTCCATCAACGACGGCATCGTCGTTCTTGACCCGCGCCCCGTCCAGCAGTGGCAGCTGGACGCGGCCTCAGCCCGGGCAGAGGGCACCGCCAACAACCTAGAGACTCGCCTCGACAGCACGACTACTGCTCAGCTTGAACTCAACAGCGAGATCGCGCTCCTCCGTTACGAGGTAGACGGTATGTTTGACTTGCAGAAGAAGGACTTGGAGAAGGCACGACGGTTTCGTAATCGTGCCTTGTTCTTCTGTGTTTTGTCCGGGTGTCTCTGGTTTTTGGTCTGTCAGCGTGATGTCAAGGAGTGTTGAGCTTTTCGATTTGGATTACAACGACCTTTTCTAAGGCTTGCGGCGGTAAAGGGAGGAAGGACTGGAGAGCACATGGGATGAAGGGATCGGAAGATGTGGTAGGTCTAGATGGGCATGAATGGATGGGACGGATATTGCTTGAGCCGCTGCATTTGAGCCTTTCAGTTTGTTTGAGATTGGGAATCACAGACGGTTGGGTATTCAGATTGCATAAATATATCCTGGGTTGTGATAATCTTTACAGTTCATCTTGTTCTAACCACCTCCGATTTGCCTCAGGAGTGAGTAGCTGCCTATCTCTCGTCGTGACAAGACAGGCTCAGGAGGTCCTGTTAGGATATGAGGTGCTCATATATCCGCCCAGAGCTCGCCTCTAGCACACAAGTCATAAATTACAAGTTTACGAGAAAGAGATGGAGATATTTATGCGACCGAGTTTACCGGTCGAACATAACCAGCTTGGATCTTACCGGCAACATAGTTGGAGCAATGCGGTGCTTCTTTAGTATCGCTACCCAGTCAAAGAGCACCTCTATTCGACAAAAAAAGTTTCAATTTTCGAATCATTCTACCATACTAGAACCCTTGACACTTAAATCTTATCGAGATGTGGCTGAGTCCCCTCTGTAGGTTCTGGCATTGGACCTGTGACTCTACATAAATGCCTGAACTGACTGTTATGCTGGGTGAGATGCCAGAACTATCTACTCGTACTTAAATGATCACATACCAAGACGATCCACGAAGCAGCAGTGGCGATTTCAAGACGGTGTATTCTCTCATTGTCTTCGGAATCTTGATGGACCACGATCTTGTCGTCAAGAGACCACTAGGCTGCCTCTATTGAAGCTCAATGAGAGCCTCTTCTCACTCAAGACATAGGCCATCTCGTGCCATAAGGATTGAACATCTTGGGTTTTCTGAGGGAGCCGGTGCTTAGATAGGTAGTGTTACTCATGCTTTTCCATGTCGAGGCTATGAGACCCCCCATTCACAGCAATGCCCAGTTGGCTATGTACTATGTAGCCTTTTCTAGCCATAATAAAGACATACGAGTGAACAACTTTGACTTCTAGCTTCATCTAATCAGCGAATGATACTCTGAAGGAAGTAAAACGGCGTTACGTCAAGAGTCTGTCTCTGACATTCAGACTGAATGTGATGTTGAGCAACTCAAGTCATTTGTATTAAGATAACAGTTGATCATTAGGTACTGAGACTTCTAATTACGGTGTTCTACTCTGCATGGACTCACAACCGGTCTCTCCCATCACTGCCCCATCAATAGCGTGCGTATGGAACTGGGTCTTAAGAGAGATGGCATCACCCTTCGACTTGGAAGCTGTAACTATTGATAGAAAGCGGCTTGGTTAACGCTCAAGTCCCTAGACTGTTCAATCTTCTTTGACGTTGACAATCTGATCGTCTTCACATGCATACGACAACCAACAGCATAGCTTATGGTTATGGAGGCTGTGCTTCTCGTGAGCTGTTTCTTCAGCCTTGATGGTTAGTGCTCCGTAGCATCCGGACAACATCTCAAGGGCTGGAAGGGAGTGGTCTTGTTGTGCATGGAAGCATAACACATGGGAGGACGATCTCAATAAGAAGAGTGCAAGCATGCGCTGGCGATGAGCAATGAGTCAAGGAAATGGGAGGGGACAGTTACCTCTGCCATCGCCGTTAGATACCATCATCGTGACTTACATGGCCATTATTACCCGGGACCACAACACTCAAGAAATCCAATATCAACACTGCTTCCTACAAGTTCTATCTCTCACACATTACCTCAACTACCCTATTTAGTCATAACTTGAACCTCAAACACCTCGCGTAGTAAGTCCTTCCAGAACCAGTATCATCATTGCTTATCCCTCAATCCTCCGAACCATGCATATCAGCGCGACCCGACAGTTTGGTAATAAACGGCCCGTTTACAAGGCAAATTTCCCCCCTTCTGCAACCACATTGGAAAAGAATACCCGTCCTTTCCGTGCCCTATTCTGCCTAAACCTCCGAAATACAGGTGAAACGAGGACAATGACACTCTTGTGATTGCCATTGGTACGGTCCTTGTTGATCAATATCCATTCACGTGCGTAAGTTATCTCTTCAACGGCGGTCATTACTGTTTCTGATAGAGTCCTTCAAGGCTAGCCCTACCGAGCTGCATCATGTCGTTTTAAAATGCTCCGGAGCTATATAGCTGCTGTCTATAATTCGGAGATGATCTACCTGTGGGTTGTAATGCCCCGGTGGATTCATGACGTTCTCCCATGCTTGGCCTTGCTTGTAAGGGTGAGTGATTATGTCAAAAGTCCGTCCCTTGTCCTGCCTTACCGCCTGGCCCGAAACCTGAAGTTCGATCGCAAGAACACCCCCACAAGCTAAAAAGTTCAGGCATGTCAAGGGGGAGAGGAGCCAAACCACGATCCCCTCACGACGGCGCGGCGCGGCCTCGGTTTCCGGAACCAGCAGTGGGGTGCGTTTGTGGTCCCAAGGTTACATCCGTCCGTGAGAGGCAGAAGGGGCAAGGGAAACACTGCCGGAGATTATTTAGGTAGAGACGGCACTGGTGCTGTGATATGGAGGGAGAGAGAGAGTTTCAAGTGAGAGGCAAAGCAGAGACACAAGTAAAATTAAGAGGCGACGGCGTAGCAGAATTGATAAGGAATGACAAACCAACAAACTTCAGATAGAAACTGTCACAACTGAACTCTGTGGTTAGTCGAGTTCAGTTGAATGCAACATGTACTGCCGTTCCGCTGACGGAATGTCAAGACAGACGGCACTTTTAGACCAGGAACCACTGACTAGCACCGCGAACTAAACTAGAGTGAAACTAATGACATGGAGAAACTATCGACGTCAGAAAGGAACTGACTGGAGTGGTCGGAAAACACACATAATACCCTCCGACCCAATTGGGGCCTCGGATGGAGGTCCTGGGAAAGGTAGCCACCTCCGTTCTAGAAGGTTTCTCGGCCGTGGGCACCAATTTTGATACTGACGACGCAAAAGCATGATCTGATCTTGATTGCATTGGCACTTTGAGAGTTTCTGTTTGTACTGTGTAGGAATTGCTTGTGAAAACATCCTATTACCGTTGACAGGTAGGGATCATGATCCTGTCAGGCCGATAATCACATTTACATGTGTTTATACGCCATAGCCAACAATTATGCCTCATTCTTTTTACTTGGCAGGTCTTATGAGGTAGGTATTCTTGATATGTGAAAACTACCTAGTTTCACCTCAAACTTGCAGAATCAAAAAGATCAAGGTCCAGCCTCTTTTTGATGCATTCATGGTTCACGGAACATGCTTTTCAGGCCAACGCAATAGAGTGGATCAAATATTGAATTGAATGAACCATCACTAATAAACAAAACCCACAGTCCGTAAAGTCTATCACACTCTAGTCTCTCCATCTTCCGCGACCAACACTTGACAAGCGCGGAATTGTACCGTATAGTGCGGTGCTCGAGCCTTACACCAAAAAGCATAAACTGGAGCCTTATGAGAACGGACCTCTCCTCCGTACAGCCCCAGCTTTTCAACTCCATCGCATGTGATTGTCTCGAGTTAATTACCACTACGCCATCTCCAGGTTTACCAATATGTGCTCGTTGTTATGTTATAAAAGCAAGGATGTAGCGTTTACGTGCCAAAACAAGCGTGGCCCGCATAAGCACCGAGGTGTCGCCCTGCAGAAAGAATTGTACCTAGGATTGAAAAAGCGCGTTTATTCCAATCTGGAGAACGAGCAAGGCCAATAAATCTTAAATCCCAAGACAGGAATAAGAAGCGGGAACCTTGACCTCTCCCCTGCAGGGATTGCGTGGCCCAGCTGGGGACAGGGTCAAGAACAAAACCCCTGGTATCCAGAGCCCAAAAGAGGAATCATTCGAGAATATTTCTGGAAGCATTCCACTTTTGGTAGACGCTACGAAGGCGGGTGTGAGCTGTTTAATTCGTTGGTCTCTTTTTCACCCCCTCATCATGTCGATCGTCAGGATCTTATCACCCGTTATTATAGCTTGATCCTTTTGAAGAGCAAGGTAATATAGCCTCAACAGGTAGGTCAACCGCATGTAAGTCACCGCTTACAGCTATCGAAATTAAACGCCGTAGGTCCGAAGAAGCCGAAGTGTCATTCATGTCTGTCCCTGTGCCATCGCAACATCAAGGCCATATTCCCAGTTGAGGGCACATCGCCCGACGTAACCTTAATTAACGTGGTTTCATATAGAGGATCGCCCTCGCTAAAACTCGTCGGTTAGCAGCTTCATTCAGTGTCAAAATGACCCTCCCTCGGCACTTAACAAAGATAAGAAACGTTTCGAATAAGTTAGAATTGGCAAAGAAAAGGCCAGCCCTACGGATAACGTTTAGCGAAGAGACGACAAGCATTTGACTCCTTGAGCATTGGCGCCGAGGATTGAATCCTCAACGCGACAATGGGGCACAGTGATTTTTTTTTTTTCATCAATTGTGAGGTGAATGCTGGCAGGGCTATGAGTCAAGATTAGCGGCGTAGCATTGAAGTCTTGACGCTTGAATCCTGAGTCCTGCAGGATTCTGAGGGCGAACCAAGCATTCTTGGTCGATGCAAAAATAGCCACCGCAAATATGCTCAATCTGATACAAGACATTAAGTTCAGGTATCGCAACTTTATGTGCAATAACAAGACTTGGCAAATCGATAAATGGAAAGAACTTTTGAGGCTCACGGATTGCCGGATGAGCTGTGCAATGCTAAGAGTCGTACAACATCATCTCTGTGAGACATGTTGTGTTCAATAGTTGACTTGCTTAACAAGCAGCATCCCAGCTTAACCCCCGGCTCTCGTTGAGATTGACCACATTCTCAGGCCCCTCCCTTGGCGTTTATTTCCGTGGAAATTCTCATGTGAAAGCGCCTGTACCATGTCGATTGTTGCAATGGCTCGTGGGAATATTGCTTTTTTTCAATGGCCTCAAACCCCACAGATCTTCCCGGCCCGCTGCAGCCCGTCAGCTTTCACATCTCAGCTACCGACATGTCGCCTGCTGCACCTCAGACACAGAAAAACAATAGGTAGAGAAGTTGTGATATATTCGGCACAAGACAACGCTCGTACGACATCCCCTCAGATGAGCGAGTACATGTGGACCTGTTGCAAGTTTCAGGCTTTCGTGCACTTGCACTTGCATCGCACACTTCCAGTTGGAGGCCTTACGGACATAGACCAGACCACCTCGGAATTCCGTCATC